TATTTGCCTGACTAAAAAACAAGAAACAATAAGAATATAATAAAGCAAGAAGGTGTGTGTATATAACTACTGTACATTCTTTAATTTTGCTGGCATGCTTGCCGATTACCAGCTTACAGTTTTGTCAGTAATTCTGCTTTCAGAAAAATAAAGTGTTTTGTGGGACGATTATTCATTTTCTTCCTCTGAAGTGTCTGTTTTATTGGCATTTGGGAATGTGTTTTGACTACCTGAAAAATGTGAGCATGACCACCTCAATGAAAGGGTTAAAGGTTTGTTAGCCTGTATAAAAGCATATTCAACGTTTGCTAATGAACTTTTTTTTTTTTACAAGTTTTTTTTCTAAATGCACAGTATGTATGTAGTAACTGATTACATCTACTGGCTTGTGAAGTGAGACTTCCTCTTTTTTGAACTTTTGACAGCTATATCTATAGCTTATGAAACCTGTAGAAACTAACAGACACACATGGCATTGTTTCCACATTTGTCAAAACCACTAGAGGGTGTCAACATATGCTAAGATATCAGCTTAATTATTTTATGCCTGTATTAAATGTATACCTTTAATTAGTTATTTCAAGTATTTCCTATGCTTGTGCCACCCATTCTGGGAAGTTTCCATCGATCTTTGCTGATATTCTAAATACAGTATATGATTTTCTGCTTGAACTTATCAAGCAGAACAGTTCCTGTTTCAGTTCTCGCAAAGGTGTTAAATAAAGCTCTGTCTTTTCCCCGTCCGTTTCGCCAGGCAGCGCTGGAGGATCGGACAGGGGAGGGGGGGGAATCCCTGCAGGGAGCCGTGAGTGACAGTCACGGCTCTCTGCACGGATAGATCGAGAAGTGAGCGAGCGCCGGTATGTGTTCGCTCACTTCCCGATCTACTGAGCCGACCTCAGTTGACAGTTTCATTTTCACAGGTCGGCTCAGATTATGAGGCTGAGTGAAAATCACTCGCCTCATAATTCTCCTTTAAGTGAAAAAAATATAACAAAGCAAAAATATTTTTTTTTTGTTTTGTGCCAAAAAAAAGACACACTCTAATAATTAATTGGACCGCCTTAAGCTTTGATTACGGCATGCATTCGCCATGGCATCATTTCAATAAGCTTATGCAATGTCACAACATTTATTTTCATCCAGAGTTGAATTCATTTTTCACCAAGATCTTGCAGTGATGATGGCAGAGTGAGACCACTACTTAAAGTCTTCTCCAGCACATCCCAAAAACTCTCAATGGGGTTAAGGTCTGGACTCTGTGGTGGCCAATCCATCTCTCATGCTCCCTTAACCACTCTTTTACAATTTGAGCCCGTTGAATCCTAGCATTGTTATCTTGGAATATGCCGATGCAATCAAGGAAGAAAAAATACATTGATGGAATTAAAATGGTCATTTAGTATAGGCATGTGGACAGCTGAGCTCATTTTTCGGGGACGTTGCTGAACCTAGACCTGACCTACTAAAGCAATCTCTTACCTATTTGCTTAGATAAAACCAGGTGGGGACTTTTTTTTGGCCAGGCAGTGTATACACATACAGTTAATACTTAACTGGCATCTGAAGGGATCGAACTAATTACTCCTCAGGATCCCTCCAATTTTTTTAAGTTCAGTACACACTTTGTTCCACAACAACAAACTCTGATGAAGGGGGAGTCTTTGAACCCCCAAAATATGTTGGCTTTTTATGAGTCAGAATAAAACTGAATCTGGGCTTACGCTTTGCTTTTTGCGCTTACTTGACATTGAAGAGAATCAGGGAGGTCTTGGCGGGTGCTAGATAAGCCTCCTGCAGGATGCCACCTTTCAACACCTTTTTTTTTTAGACCATTACCAACTAAAAGCTTTGTGAAAAAACCTAGATTCCAAAACAAAATCACGTTATAGACTCCAGAAGGTTCTATTACCATCAATTCTATGTACGGCATCAGGAACATATATTGTCCTGACAGTTTTCCTTTAAACATGACAGAGTTGGGTCTACAATGACACGGCCTGGTACCGAGCAATTTATTGCGTTTGTCCGTGATAATGACAGACCCGGGGAACATGAAGAGAGGAAGATAAAGAGATAAATGAATATATTACTCCAAAACCATCAGGCACTTTGTCCTTCTGATCCTCCCTGTGTAATCTTTTCTTCTTCGCAATAATTGTTACAAGGATTCCTGCTTCTCTAATAAATCTTACAAAATCTTATCATCTTTCTTCACATTCCTGGCTGGGCTCCCAGAATCAATCTGTTCCCGGCCGTCTGCTTGCCGGCCGCACAATAAGCTTTTTATTTTGCTCTTTTAGCTAAAATTTTCTTCATGCCACCACATCTGCCTCTGCAGAGTAAAATGCAGGACATGGAGGGCTTACATTCAAAGACCTATTTTCTTGTAATAGCTGGGATGATCCTTCTGTTTTAGGACATATTACAAAAAGAATTAGTTTCATAGCTGACAGCAATAAGGTTTTATTTGCCTGCTGCGTTACGGTGAGCTGCACACTGTTAGGAATACATAGCGGAGAGGGGGGCAGCCATTTTGTGTGCTATGCACACTGGAGGGAGACATTTTGTAATACACAAATTGCAAACATTTGATGGATTGGAAGATCTTGTCATGTGGTGGAGGTAGACCGTTTAAGACACACACAATGCAAACATTTTGGTGTCTATACATCTAGTGGAGGAAGCCAACTTGGAGCTGATGTAAACCCTGGATGCTGATTTAGTTTGGATGATATTTAGTTTGCTAAAGCACTTTGTATCATAAGCCATTGCTTTTTCATATATATATCTATAAAAAGGATTTTGGACTTACTGTAAAATCATTTTATTGGAGTTTATTAAGGGTCACAGAGTAGAATAATTCTTGGACAACTGGGTGTACAGGGTATATAACCCATTCCCATCATGCTTCAGTTTTGTGGAAATACAATGGTAGAAGTGGATGATAAGACAGAGGGGTGAGACCTATATCCCTTAATGAACTCCAAGAAAATGATTCTACGGTAAGTCAAAAATCCTGTTTTCTTAGCAAATGAGATGTCCAAAAGCAGTCAAACTGAGGGGTGGACAATACAGCAAGCAAAACATTAACAGGCCCACAAAAAACAGCATGTTAACACTGGGGGGCTAGATGAAGCTCGCAGAGTTGCCTGAAGGACCTTACCTCTGAAATGTTATCAGGTGAGGCATGAACATTCACCTTGTAAAACTTAAAGCTCATCTCCAGCCAAACAAAAAAGTACCATTGCAGTGTGGGTGTAGCCCCACTGCAGGGGTACTCTTTGTTTGCCCGGAGACGGGTTTTAAGTTTCACAAGGCGGAAGTGGTTGTTTTTGTCTAGCGGACTGGAGTAAAACACTTTTACTTACCTAAACCTCTTGCTTACCTTCTCCTGCTTTACTCCAGCTAGTGCACTGTCCCTCAGCATCCTCACATCGAATGCAGGTCTATGGAACCTGCATTAGATGTGATGACGTCAGTGGTCCTTAGACTGCTGGAGCAAAGGGGAGCAAAGCCTATGGGAACTCGTCTAGGAGCCTGGAGGGAGCCAGCAGAAGTAGGGACAAGGCAACTAAACCTGTTTTAGCCCAGAGCCTAGACAAAAATAAGCACCCAACCCTTGCAGTTTCTTTACGTTCCCAGAGATGGACTTTAAAGAACATGTGAACAGAAGACAAGGTGGCAGCCTCGCAATCTGAGAACAATTACCCAACGCTGGAGAAGCCAAAGAGGCAATGACCAATCTAGTGGAGTGCTCCTTGACAAGAGAAGGAGGAACCTAGTCCTTTAGCCTATAGGCCTGAATGATAAGCTGCCTAAGCCACCTTGAAATGGTGAGACAAAAGGCAGCTCTCCTCACATCCAAACCATAAGAGGAATGTCCTTGGGGTGTACTGGCGTAGAACAAAGAGATGGACAAGCAGCTATGTCCTGGGTATGCAGAGGATCAGCCAATCCAGAAAACCGCAAAGTGACCCCTTCTAGCTCTGCAGCATCTGGAGAATTTGTAGCAAAAATAATTTTGCAAAAAAGTTTTGGTTTATTTCTCACTGTAGCATGATGGGAGTGGGAGGGGTTATACTGCTTGTACCACTTTTTTATTATGTCAGTCTCTAATTCTCCTGAAGGTGGCAGCATAACCCAGATGTCTAAGAATTACTCTACCCTGTGTCCCCTAATTAATGATTTAGGGCTCATTCGCGCATGTGATTAGGGCTGGAGTGCCGATTCCTGTGACAAGAATCTCCAGAATTTTGCAGCTGGGATCACATGAGGTTAGTGGAGGTTAAGAACTGGGCTGGGATGTGGAAACAGCGGTGGACAGCCGCTGCTCCTGTCAGCCTGTTATTGTTTCTGCAGATTCTTCCCACAGGAATCCACTGCCTGGTCCTAATCACATGTTCGAATGAACCCTGAGAAATACTGTTTTCATCCTTTGTAAAAACTGCTGATGATCTGCATTGATGGCTGCATATCATTGCTCATGGTTGGATTTGTGATAGTGACAATGGTGGATGATGAGCTCCAGCATGGCCAGGACAGCAATTACAGGCAAGCAGCTAAACACAGAGCCAATATACTGTATGGGAATTTATCACCAACAAAAGGATCGTTAATTTGGTACAACCAGTGATTCAGGCTTTCTTGCTAGACATCACAGCCAGGTTCTTAACCTGCACAAGAGGTGTACAGGTTGGTAAACCCCCCCAGCCTGCTGATTTGGCAGTGAAGGACCAGCAGCACACTGTTGTGGTCATCCCTCTGTGACTCTGCTCTTTCCTTTCTTAAGCATGCCCATTCTCAGCATCTGTGCACAGAGGCAGAATCGAATTGGCTACTATTCCTGCCTCCCCCAGTCCTAGTCTGAGTGATGCTAAGGAGGGAATTACAGGAGACGATAACAAGACAGATTCAGGTACTTGCACAATGTGCAATAAATACATAACTGCATGAGTTTAGCTTTAAACTTCTCTACTACATACTTCACGTTAGCTTACCTTGTCTAGGTCACCATCAAGAACAGCTTCGAGGAGGGCTAAAATAAAAGTAGAAGAAATGAGGTGTTAAGTTATTTTACACTCATACCGTGTTTCCCCGAAAATAAGACACTGTCTTATATTTTTTTTGGCTCACAAAAACACACTAGGTCTTATTTTCGGGGTAGGTCTTATTTTCAGGGAAACAGGGTATGTGCATATTATATGCTAGAAAGGCAGATAGACGTGAAATACTTCTTGGCCTGTATGCATATGAGTGTCCTGTCTATTACCGTGTTGTCAGCACACTACAGGGTGTTAGGAGCACTCTGTATTTCTATGAATACCTCCCAAAAATAGCCTGGAGTTAGTCTTTAAAGCTACAGCATACAAATATATTTTGGATAACTGATCACTATTTGGCTGAATGGGCACAAATTTCCCTCAGACACACTCCAACATTATGTGGAAAGCCTTCCCAGAAGAGTGCCTGTATGCTAAAGTATTGACAGAACCCTTCACTGGAAACACCTAAACTCAATCATTTGAGGGATGTCTACATACTTATGGCCATATAGTGTGTCTACTGTATAGCTGACTTCACAACTTGAGCCTTGGGCTGAATTCAGACCTGTATGTTCAATTACAACTTTTTAACCTGCAGCTTGCTATACAGTATATGAGCATTGCGGTGCATGCTGATTCATTCCAAATGGCTCCCTAACCCTCATATAGAGTATTAAATAATTCACTTCAGCACACCTCAACAATTGTTAATTTTTTGTGCTGTTGTGTATTACTCAAAAGAAGGCACCTTTTGTCATGCATTGCGGCGTGTTAGGGGCCCATTTAAAGTGACTGGGCTACCTTAATCCAACATGAGTCTGCATGAAAATAGTGCAGGCAAAGGTATAAAGCCTTATGGTTAAACCAAATTATTGCATGTATCCCATCGCATTCCTGAGTGATATGCGGTTGCCACTGTGTTTGAGAACAATGAAAAAGAAAATGAGTAGCAGACACACCAATTGTGATACCAATACGCCTTGGTATTGATGCATGTTCATGTTATCACAAAGCAAACAACATTTTGGGCTGCTTGGGGTCCCTTCATCAGGCAAACAATCTGATGAAGTTAAACTGTTTGCCTGATGAGGGGACCCCATGCGGCCCAGAAAAATTTCATTTGCGTTGTGATAACGTGAGCATGCATCAATAAGAAGAGGTATTGGTATCACAATAGGAGTGGCGGTGATTCTTCCTCTTTTTATGGTCAAACCGGACACTGTCCAAGTATGCTGACTGGTCACTGTGGTCTAATATAAGTCCACAATTCTCATTTTTAAATCCCAGCGTCAGGTTATGTTTTTAATAATCCACAAAACCACCCTAGAGCCAGTCGTCCTTTTTTACGTATTTGTCAGCAGTATATTTAACAGGCCCCCCCCCCCTCGCTGCAATGCAGAACGCCAACCTCTTGCTTGCCGCCAGTAGTAAACAATCTCAGCGCCAAGATTTCTACTGCAGTCTACGATATTGATGGCTTCTACTTGAAAGGAATTTATGTGCAGATGCAGTTATGCCAAAACAAACGGGATGCTTTGGGTTATGCAGGAGCTGCAGTTATCGGTTAAGTTCTTGTGCAGCGCTAAATTATTTGTTTGAATGCTGGAAGAAAGCTAAAAAAATCCTAATCCCCGCTTAGTTAACGCGCCCTGAAATGGACTTTGCTAATTCAGCGCCAAAGAAGAAAGCAATTCATCTACTTATTTCCTGGCTTTAATTTATTTACTTCTGTGCCGGCGTGAGGTCTGGAGCAAAAAAAAAAAAAATCACAGTTTTGCACGTCTCACGGGGAGCGGGCTGTGAATTTCTTTAGAGATTGCCTTCGCTGCATAATGTATGGCACGTCCTGTAAATATCGATGCATTCTGCAATGCCAGAGCAAATGCTTTATTGTGAGGGATTTTACTGCCTCTTCTGGTCATTTGGGGATTAACGGTTTTACATCCAAGACTTTTCAGCTTTGAGAGTCATGTTCTGGTAGCAGCTACAATGAGACGCTGAGTTATTAAAGTCTCAGTCTACACAAGGGTGATATTTAAATTTTCAGAATATAAAATGTGCAGATGGCAGGGCTGGATTCACATTGGTAATCAGTCAATCTTATATATCTTCCTGGGTCTGGAGAACTGTTGGGGATTATTAAGCTCTAGGCAGCTCTTGATTGGACAATATTAGATACAAGCAGTAGACCCTCATCTGTTGTACATGAAAGGACAAGTGTTATAATGCGAGCAGCAAAAATAGGAACAAAGCAGACAGTAGAATGCAAAGTCTGTTGTATTTAATTACCAGAAAAATGCCTCCTTCATCGGGGGTAAAAATAAAAACAATTATCCCAACGTTTGTATATGACGAGAAGCAAAAGGTGGCATCTGTGATATACAAACTTTGGTAAACGTCAAACTTTGAATTAAAACCATAGTTCCTATAGCATCTGTGCACAATGTCAGGGGTGGCCGGCAGGACAGGCATGGTGGACAAATTTAAACATGAAAACATTAATTAGGAATTTTTGATTGCTGATTGAATTTTTGATGCTTCTATAGGGGACATGAAGTGCACAATTATGTTTTCACTGTGACGGTTTTGTTTTATTGATGAAAGGGGCATTCTTCTGACCCCTGAAATGTGTTGCCACCTGTTTTTAAAAAAAAATAAAGTAGACTTTAAAATTCTACAATTTGCTTTATCTCCATGTGTGATGCCCTTCACAACCTTTTCCTTGGATTCTAGTCTTCGGGCTGAGCGCTGAAGAGTTAATCCACCAAGTGGTTGGGTTACATCTCTTGGAAAGTCTTGTAGAAATATCTCTATGCTTGAGTTCTCAGGTATTTCAGCATCCCAGTGAAATCCAAACTCTTCAACATCCTGCTACTAGATTCCACTTTTACTGTAATTTAGAGAGAGCTATTCAGGTTTTCATTAACACATGAGGTTAAAGAGAAACTGAACTATGGAAACTGTGCCCCAAATAAGGAAGGCAAAGGACTAGTCACCAGTATTGCCTGAGGTCTCCCTGAAGCTGATATTTTCCCCATTGCTGACTTGCAATGTCTTGTTCTGCACTGTGTCAGTGCATGAAAGAGGCCATCTTGGCAGTAGAAGGGCTTTGCTTCCTCATGTCTGGACCTCCAGTAAGAACAGGGATCAGCACAGTAGTGACATCACCAAATGTCACTCTAAATCCATTGAGACTGGCAGTTAGAGACAGCAGTACCTTAGATCTCACACTTCAGATATACAGCAATGAGACTGTAGGGACAAGAGTGCCTAGGCACCCTCAAAAATCATGAAGTGCACTGATATTTTTCAGGAGTTCCAGACATTCCAGAAACATTCAGGGGCCTGTTTAAAATGCTCCCTATAACATAGCACTTTTTTTAGTTTGGTCTACTTTAACAGCATCTAGAGTATATGACTATGAGATTTGGGGGTTAATTTACTATGGACAAATAGGCTGTTCCCTTTGCAAGGGAACTTGCAGTTTGCAGGGGGATGTTCCCTTAGCTTAGGGAATGTTGTGAAATTTCACTTTCCAAAGAATACTCAATCCTGTGCCAGAAAACAATATTTCTGTTTGCACATGATTGGTTGATGGAAGTCAGTAGAACTTGACATCATTCACTAAACTTCCCCTGCAAAGTGCAAATTCAAACAAAGTGAACAGCATATTTGCCTTAAGTAAATCTACCCCTGGGACTTGTACTGCTTTCAGGACTGAATGAATTAGGCTTTGCTTCCACTAACCATGGCAGCCTCGGGAGTAGCATAGACCGACTCTCCACAAGTCAGTCTCATTGATATACCGTGTTTCCCCGAAAATAAGACAGTGTCTTATTTTTTTTTTTTTCTACGACACTAGGTCTTATTTTCGGGGGAGGTCTTATATTAGAGAAATCCCTGCAAGGCCTTATTTTCGGGGTAGGTCTTATATTAGAGAAATCCCTGCAAGGCCTTATTTTCGGGGTAGGTCTTATATTAGAGAAATCCCTGCAAGGCCTTATTTTCGGGGTAGGTCTTATATTAGAGAAATCCCTGCAAGGCCTTATTTTCGGGGTAGGTCTTATATTAGAGAAATCCCTGCAAGGCCTTATTTTCGGGGTAGGTCTTACTTTCGGGGAAACACAGTACATGTATACATTGTACAACCAGGATCTTCACAGCCCTGATTCCAGAGAAGGGAATAAGGACTTATTTGTAGGTTAGAACCTGCTTCACCTTGGGTGGAAACTATCAGTACAGTAATAAGAGGATGCATTATGTGAGGCCAGGCATGTGACAAGCAACAAGTGTTCCTGGCACTCCTGCTGAAGCTTTTTAAAGCTGAGTAAGTTAGAGATCTAAATCCTTTACAGGTCAACCTGCTCATATATAGTAATTAAAGACTGCATAGTCAGATTGCTATTAGTGACAGGTACTCTTAAAGCTCTAAGGGAAAAAGTGCTATATGTTTGCTTTAAAACAAAAGGGTACAAATGAGTTAGTTCCCTATATGCATATCAAAAGGAAAAGAAGGCATAAAGCATTAGCCATCCCCTGCCGAAAGGCAACCATTCAATATGGCGTCTTACCTTGTTCTTCAGCAGTGACGGGGGACCTGAAACAGAAAATGAGAATTCAGTCAGTTGAAAATGATATCTTAAATATTCCTGAACTGAATGGACCGTACTTCGGAAATGACCAATGATCTTTTCCCCATCTTATAAGAGTAACCTGGTCACCCCAGATCATTAGGAGCCCACATACATTAGCTTAATATGTTATCATGACTCGAAATAGTCTATTCATTTTGAATGGGCAGATGCACAAAAAAACATACATGTCCCTCTTTTGTTTATGCAGCACACAACGCACGACACATGCATTGTGGTGTGCTGCTGTGAAGATACGTTGCCCACTACTGTAGTATAGTGAAGCACTGCCCTGCCAAATGTACCCATGGCAGTGGTGTACCTATGGGAAAGGGGGCGGGGGGTTTAGGACCGCACCAATGCAAATCCCCACTGGACACACATTGCTCCGTTATCTACCGTACACATCATGCAGATCATTTCTCTTTTTTTTAACCAACATTTGACATAACATGTTCACATAAAGTGGCTTAGTGATTAGCACTTCTGCCTTGCAGTACAGAGAGTCCCCGGATTGAATCCCGGTCAGGTCACTATCTGCATAGAGTCTTCATGTTCTCCCTGTGCTTGCGTGGGTTTCCTCCCACACTCCAAAGACATGCTGGACCCTGGAAGGTTAACTTACTCCTGTCTAAATTGGTCGTATATGCGTGTACAATAGAGACCTTAGATTGTAAGCTCCTTGAGGGCAGGGACTGATATGAATGTGCAGTATATAAAGTGCTGCGAAAATTGTCAGAACTAGGTAAATAACATTAATAAAGAAAGAAAATCTTCACTGTTTCCAGTTTTTCTGCCCATTATCCTGCATGTTGGTATACAACAGGTCCACTTTATTTCTGCTTGCTGATCATCCAGAATTTTACCTGCAGCACATTATTGCCCTTGACTTTGAAAAAAACTTTCATTCATTATTTCTGCAGAGCTTGTAATTTTATCTCGACGGCTGAAAAAATAGTTTGATGGTTTCTCCTTTTTTTTTTTTCCTGTCCTCATCTTGCGTGGCGCATAAACCCAAGAGAGAGAGGGACATGCTGAGACTGAGAGATGTTAATGGTTTGTTAATGAGCCGATAATGTAACCTGGGAGGGAACCAACAATTGTAACTGTTTCTGAGATAGAGAGATGTGGCAGCCAGAGACACGGCTTATTGTTCTATCATACATTCCTGAGCGATAATGGAGCACAGATACACATCTAGCTGTCCTTATTAGGGGTACTGAATATTATCAATGGACTGAGGCAGGGTGATGCTTGGAATGTATCCATTATTGTAACTATATTTACTCTGCGTCAATGCATCCCTGACATGTCACAATATACAGCAACAGTATCAGTTTTGAAAAAGATGTCCGTGTCCTTTTATCTTAAAAAAAACGTCCTTGAGCTCCAGTGCAGTGACTTTGCCAAAGCTGATGATGTCACCAGTCTTCTGCAGGCAGGAGGAAGAATTTCCTCAGTCTCCTCTCCCCAAAAGTGATTAGACAACATTTTAACCTTGCAGCAAGTCACAAGTTGAGATGCTGCAGCAAGGGCTGATCTGTGTTAGATATTTGTGAACGCAGCTAAGCACTTCACAGACATCAGGATTTTCATGACTGCATCATCTCTCAGCTGGCATCTCAGTCCAGGAAAAAGATGGTGACCCTGGATGATGGCTGAGCAAAGTTGGTGTCATCTTCTTCAAACGTTGATGAGTGAATTGTCAAGGGGAGTACTGTGATCTCTGTGAGAGGTAATAAATACCTGGAAATGTTACATATTACTGAGTATGCATGCAATAACATGAAAACATATATGTAATGCTAGGTCTATGTAATGTGTAGATTCTGGGGCATGCTATGTAAAAGAAATTTTTATAAGAGATAAGGATGCACTCATCCAATCCTTACAGGAATTGGAAAAGGCACCACTTAGCTATTGTGATTAAAAACAAGTATAGGAGTGTGTTGAGAAAGGACAGTAAAAAGCAAAAAAGGCCCCTTGCACATAAGGCAGGGGTATATGTACATGAATATGAACAGGTCTCTTATCTGGAAAAATAAATCCATAAACCATTGGTGATGAAATTAGAGTATCTATAATGAAGGAAACCAAAGATTCAGTCGTATAAAACCCTTATGAGACCAACTGTCATGTAAGGAGGACAAAATAGAGGGAATCAGGGCTCCACTGTAAGATCGCCACTGCCTCCATTGTAAGATCTTCGCTCAGGCCTTTTTTCCACCCCCTACATTGTTACAGGACACAGCAGTAATTTAGGGGCTGGCGGATACAACCAGCGTGCAGAGGGTGACAGCGGTTTCCATCACGTGTCGGATATGAAGATTATGTTGGAGGCTGTAGCTTTGCATGAGAGCAGAGATTGAAGGAATGGGGAAAAAAAGGAGTCCAGTGATATTTCTAAACTCTGTACAGTCTTTAGAATGCAGTTATCACTCACACAAAGACCCATAAGATTAATAGGTTAAAGACAATCTGCTTTCTACAGGCTTTGCTCCACGGCTCTCCCAGATGGGGAAGGCCATCCAGAGATAGCTAGAGAAAGGAACAAGAACCTGCAATGTGTAAGGTGGACTAATGCCATATCCAAGTCTTAATGTAAGGCGCACCATTGTTATGGTCATGGCAGGTGAATCCGGGACCCCAGGTGCTGTCAAAGTCTATAATGGACATAAGAATCTAGTAGGTGCTTGAACCACAAACCAAAAGATCTTCTTTGGGTGGACTGACTCTTTAAGAATTAGAACAAGGGCTTTTGAATTTGTTATTCTGTACTAAATGTTCGCATGGCATCATTCACAATATTAGGGCCGACTGATTGATAATGCTCTTATTTTGTGTTTGTTTTTGCTAAACGCAAATTCGAGCTATTTTCTTGTTGAATGTTCGGAGAGATAATGACAAATGCAGCTGAGGTTCTCCCGTGTGGTCACATTGCCACCTAGTGGTCAGCGTTGCACACTGCTTTGTTAAGATGATTTTTAAGAGGAGTTTAGGGGAAAACTGTGATCATCTAGACTGCTGTAGTGTTTCTCATCACTGGTCTGTGCTGATTTACAGACCCGTTACACATGTTGAACAGTCATCCAACTCTGCTTTATCAAACATAAGATTTTACATAAAGATACATATTGGATATGAGATAATTGGACACTTTAGCGGACATGTTACACTAGCCACTTGGCAGAGATTTGTAGTAGCTACATACAGTATCTCTCTGCTTGTTTACTCTGCAAATTGAAGCTGAATACAGAGTTGCTGCTGCAGCTGACTATGCAGCTACAAATTATTTTGGGCGACATGGCTATCAGCAGCTCGCTAAAGCTGGCCATACACCCATAGATTATCTGCAGATTTTCTACGGTCAGATGGAAAAAGTGCAACACATTCCTCCATCTACGCTAAACTGTGTGGATAGAGGAATCTCCCACTGGGCCAAGCTTCAGTATCTTGCTAGTCGGCCCTATTGGCTCTCAAAATACCTAAACAATCTGATTGGATGCAGGCATTGTTCAGGTGGTTCGAGAGCCAGCGGGGCCGACTAGCAAGATACTGAAGCTTGGCCCAGTGGGAGCTTCCTCCATCCACACAGTTTAGGTGGACGTATCTGTTGCACTTTTTCTATCTGACCATACAAACTCTGCAGATAATCTATAGATATATGGCCAGCTTTAGTGGAAAGATCTCGATAGGGTGACGTGGGAAGATAAGTTTGTGAGTATCAGGAGTCAATAGAGATGCATAAGTCATTAGCAAAAGCTGAGTTTAAAGTCAAAGTCCACCAAAATATGAAATGCATGCTTCTTCATGAAAGAAAAACATTGTAACCATGATCAGTGGATAGTTGGTGCAATGCTCTGGCTCCTGCAGATTCTCCCTCCATTCCATATCCGCACCTCAATGCGGACATTCAGTAACATGTATTGGAGGAAACATGAATGGACTACAAGTGGGGTGATGTCACCACACTTGTATCCATTGAGACCTTCCATTGAGTCCCTCTGCTGCAGTAGCTGCTGTAGAAGAACACCACATTAAGTGTGTGGGGGGGATTGTGATGTGACCATGTATAATGTTATACACTGAATATGGGTAACATGAAACATGGTCAGAAAAGTAAACTAAACATTTAAATTAGAGAACAGACCTTGTCTGAGCTGGTATATTGTCTGAATGCTAATGGCTTAAATACAGGAGTAGCCAAACTTTGGCCCTCCAGCTGTGGTAAAACTACAAATCTCATCTCTTAGCAGAGATTTGTAGTAGCTACATATCTCTATGCATCTGCTTGTGGGACTCATGCCCTACCAACCCCTAATGGGGTTAGTTATTTTACCACAGCTGGAGGGCCAAGGTTTGGCTACTCCTGGCTTAAAAGGTTAGTTCGCCTTTGTAAAAAATAAAATAGCATATGCAGTTGAGAAGCCCCAGCAGGTGACAACTAAGCAGCTTTTAAAAATCTTCATTAATGTATCTTCTATACCTGTAGGCCATTTGTGACCCCCATCGAAGCCTACCCAAAAAACTCCCAATACTCTGCATAGCTCCATCCTGTTTCTAGGATGAGCAAGCCACTGGACGCTTGTCCCCAGCAACGCCAGAGTAAGCACCGTCCATATTCAGAGCCCCGCACCGTAATAGTCTCTTCCCCTATTACTATTACACTTTATTTATTCATTCCATAGCTGTTAATATTCGAGTGAAGGACCATGTTAGGCAGGCGTTACCTGCAGTGCTATGACTATACTGAGGTGTAATTGGCATAGGCATGTCTCTTGTATTTGTGTACCAGAAAAAGGCATTTAACATTGCTAGTATTTTATCGAAATACCACATTTGATGTTTTTTAAGCTGTGATTAATGGCAAGCCTGTGACATATTTCTTGACTTTGAAAACAATCAGCTTGTTGCTCAGCCCACCCACAGACCGCATCAACCTCTTAGCCCCGGTGACAAAGCTTCTGCGTCTTCCCGCAGAATTGTTTCATCGGCTGTCGGCTCAGCGGGTGAAGAATATATTGAGGGACACGGCGGCACATGGGACTGGGTGAACCCGGGAATACAAGATTAGCTCTCTGTTATGAGGAATATCTCTCCAGCTCAGCTATGTGAGGCTGGTAATCTCGGCCCTGTCAACAAAGATCTAATCTCTGAGTGGAACAAACGAGGAGTCCACCAAAATAACCTCATTATTGGTTGTCCCCATCTCATACCAGCTTCTGAAACACTGCCTTCTGTGAGGCTGAGCTGGGAGCTGCTCGGGGGGCCAACATGCCCTAGAAGGGTCTAAAAATAGCAGTTCTAGACAGCGAAGCCCTTCAAATTTAAAGGAGAACTCGGGTTTAATTAAAAAAATAAAGCATGATATGGTGAGAGAGGAGCGACCTATACTTAACAGACTTCACAGCTCTTCACAGGATTGAATGAGAGTGCAAAGCGTACCAGTGGGCCCAATGATTTTGAAAATCATCTGCGCAGTGCTGAAGTTAAAAATAGTAGGAGGGCTTACATGACCAGGTGAATAGGCAGCGCTGTCCCTAGGTAGATTGCCGCCTGAGGTGATGTCATTCCTGGGGAAGGGTGGGAAGTTGATGCTGTCACGGAATGGTCAGTGGTGGAGGGGAGGTGAGGGGTGCGCGGCTCATTGGTTCAAAAAAGGCAGGGGGCAGTGGCGGATGGTGCCCGCTCTATCAGTGACTCTGTTCGGTGTCCATCCCAGCTCACTGACGTAACTGGTTGCCAGGAGCTAGGCAGGATGCATGCCAAAGTGTCCCTGCTCACCTCCTGGCAACAGGTGATATCAGTGAGCTGGGCGGTATCACACAGAGTGTCACTGGGTGCTAAGAGCTCCTAGCAACCTGGCACGCTGTGGTTGCCCACCTGTCGCCTTGACAACCAGAAACATGTCTGCAGAGCCACAATCAATGTCATAAGAAGACAACCAGAAACATATCTGCAGAGCCACAATCAATGTCATAAGAAGACAACCAGAAACATGTCTGCAGAGCCACAATCAATGTCATAAGAAGACAACCAGAAACATGTCTGCAGAGCCACAATCAATGTCATAGTAAGACAACCAGAAACATATCTGCAGAGCCACAATCAATGTCATAAGAAGACAACCAGAAACATGTCTGCAGAGCCACAATCAATGTCATAGTTAGACAACCAGAAACATGGCCACAGAGCCACAATCTATGTCATAGCAAGACAACCAGAAGCATGTCCACAGAGCCACAATCAATATCATGGAAAGACAACCAGAAACATGTCTACAGAGCCACAATCAGTGGCGGAACAATCACTATAGCGACCCAGGCAGCCGCTATGGGGCCCGGGGCACAGGGGGCCCCCCTGATGCTGTGCGGGCCGTCTGGGTCGCTATGGCATCTCAGGCTGGTGACTGTCACTGGCAGCTGTGAGGAGGAACACGCCCGGCTGTTCAGATCACTGACAACCTGTCAGTGATCTGTGCAGCGGCGCATTTCTCCTCACAGGTGCTGCTGAGTCAGTGACAGCCAGCAGCTGTGAAGGAGGAGACTGGGCCCAGCGTCGGCAGTGAAGGAGGAAGCGGTGCCCGGTGATGGAGGAGGTGGGGCCCGGCGATGGAGGAGGCAAGGGCATAGCAATGGAGGAGGAGGAGAGCGATCGGGGCTGACAGGTAAGAGGGATTGATCAGCCTACCTGAGACCCTGCAGAGCCCACCATAGAGAGTCTATGGTGGGCTCTGCAGGGTCATTCTCAGGTGGGTTGTTTGGGATATCAGTTGGGCGTAACTAGAAATCACAGGTCCCCATACAACATTTTGCTATGGGGCCCTGTGATTTCTAGTTACGCCCCTGGCCACAATCAATGTCATAGAAAGACAACCAGAAACATGGCCGCAGAGCCACAATCAGTATCAGAATGAGACAACCAGAAATATGTCTGCAGAGCCACAGTCAACATCATAGTGAGACAACCAGAAACCTGTCCACTGCTAAACTGAACACACTTAAACACAGGTAAACACAATGTCAATTATACCTTTTAAAACCATTGCATGCATTATATGCTTTTAGAACGCATGTCACTGCCAGTGTGAATGAAGCCTAACGCGCATTAACACAGATACTGTACATACACATGAACACACATACATACACATTGATACGTACATACGCATTAACATATATATTAACACACACACACATACATATTCATTAACATGAGCACAGAGTCTCTTAGGAAACAATACCAAATCACCAATAATAATGTATGTGTGGCACAGACCTTTACCTTGTGTGCCTACCTCCCCTGGGGCTAACTGATTGTAGCTGTTTGAGGCACAGCTGCTTATGCAGAACCTCAGCACACATGTCATGTAAGCTCCATGCAGAATGTGTGCCCTGTCCCATATCCCAGCTAGCGAGCGTACCTGGAGAAGGCGTTGAGTTCTGGGTGGGGTGGCAGCAATAGTGGCGAGGGGATGAATGTGGGAGAACGGGGAATGTGGTGGCTTGCCTGGCAGACTGTGAGCTGATATGTGAAAGTGGCCAGAATAAGTTTTAACTGACCTAGGTGACTGTGCCTCCCCTGTTGTCCACTCCACCCTAGATTATGGCCTAGGTGGCTTAGGCAGGAATGGGGCCCTAGGGCTCTATCCAAATCTAAAAAAAGCTCTGGTTGAAGTTGTGTTCTAACATCTCCAGGTGTGCGCATGTAAAGGGGTTTTTCTCTCTCTCACTCCCCCCCCCACCTTCCCCTATCCACATCATCGACATGACTAATCAGATCCCACCTGAAATAAAACAGAATTAACGCAGTGCTTGCTTGATTAAAAAGCAGAACGTATAATTAATTTTCTGCTGCATGCCGGCAATTACAATCTCATTTTCTTGGTGCCACGAGTACGTGTCTGATAGTGGTTCGGGATAGGGACCCTTTCGGCGCCAGAAGGTGCACATCTCTTCTGGATCAGGAGGAGCAGCGGTCCAATGTCTCAGCTGTACAGCCCCAGCTTGTTGAATCAAGCTGCTTTCTTTACTCAAGGTCACAAGAATTTGGCAAAGAATGCAGCTAACTTTGACAATGTCCTAGAAAGCAAAATTCCTGCCAGCCCGTCCTCGAGGGAAGAAGGTTGGACCGTGAAATCAAGCAAATTCAAAAGCACTTGCGGTTAACTAAATTAGAAGTAAAATAGAGCTAAATGAATTAAAGGGTCGGTGTAAAAGATGAGATAAGCATTTTCATGGGGTCACCTAAAAAAACAAAGAGTAGAAGGGAAAAAAAAGTATGCCCCAAGGTTTAGAGGATAACCGTACTTTAATAGGAACATGGAGTATAAAGTAAAGGTAAAGTTATCCTTGAAAGAGAACCTGCACTGAGGGGTCTATTTATGAATGTTTTCACCCAAGAGTCACTCAATTGTCACCCATTTACCCATAAGATTCAATTACCAAAATGAGTGAAAGCATTGATAACTACACCCCTGAGAAAAATGATAGATAGATAGATAGACATTGAACTCTTTCATTGTCTAATATAAAACTGGAGTCCGACAGTGAACACCACCCAGATTCCAGAACTCGCCAGGCCCACATTTGGTATAAGGGCCCTAACTGCCAAAAGGCCCTTGTCTGCCACTTTAATAAAAATACAAATTAATAAATACATAGTAAAGTTACATGTAGTTGCAATAGTAATGTTATAAGTATAACTGGTATGCATGCCCTAAAAAGTGGAGTGAAGAATGCCAGAACTACCCTAGCAGTCAACCATGGCGTCACTATAGAACCAGCTACTGTGTTCCTGCACTAAGCCTCTCCCACGAGAAGACAAATAGCAATTGTGGTGTATCAAGGCCTATACCTCTCTTCAGTGGTTAGCATGGGGGATGCCATGGAAAGGTGTTCTGCTTTGGATTAGCTTTGGAAGGATGTAGCTTAGGCATTTTTAATACTTTAGAGTAAACATAGTTCATAGTTGAGCTGACATGCTGTAGTTTTATGAAAAGGGGTTAGCACACAAAATGGATGCAGAAGTCAGCTGCCGTTGAAAGCCAAACTGAACTCAAACATGAACATTTGCCATTTTGCCTAAGCAATGTACTGAAAAATGTACCTGGAATTCCTTCTGAAAAATAGCAATGCACTTCCTTGTACACGAGTGTGCCTAGGAACTGTTGTGCCTACAGCTTCATAGCTGCAGTGAGAGATCTAAGGCACTGCTGCCCCTGACTGCTAGCCTCACCAGGTTTTGAGTTTTATTTGGGGAGGTCACTACTGCACTACTTACTGTAGAGGAACCTGCACTGCATGGATCTCCCTGCTTCTGCTTCATCCATTTTGTGGATCTGTGCTTTCTGCACCTCTCCTGCTGCTTCTTACTTATTCTTCCACCAGTAATCAGATCACCAGTCATCAAGGGGTTAGTGTTCATGTGAGAAAGCAAATCCCTGCCTCTACCAAGATGGCCACCTCCACACAGAGACTCAATGCAGAACATGGCATGGTAAGTTATGAATGTGGAAAAGATCAGCTACAGGGAGGCCGCAGGCAATAATGGTGACTGCTCATTTGCCCCCGCTTGCCTTTTTGGGCAAATCTTTCGCAGGGCACATGATTTTTTTCTTTTTTTAGGTATTGAGCCTTACTCTGCTGTAGGTCTACTTGCACCCACATGACAACAAGTAATAAATTACATAAAAGTCTTACGGCAGGGTGCTGGAGGGGGAGGAGTTATGTGCTCTGTCGGAGAACTCATTGTGTAGAGACAGCTTTCCTGGAACGCAGCTGTCGCTCACTATACGTTTTCGACATGTTGGCGTCCACCACTCCGTCAGCCTGTGATTGGACAAGATCAGACAGGAGATGAAGAAGAAATCAAACAGGCTTTTTTTTTACAAGCATGACGTATACAGCTACGTTACACTGATCTTTCTGACCAAAAAGTGTCTTGAAGATGTTACGCTGCTGATTTCCTGTGAAATCACTTATAATAAGCTTTTCCATTTTTGAACATTGCCACAGACTATAATAAGAAGTGAAATTATTTTGAACTGCCTGCATTGCATTTTTTTAATGTTCCTCTGTACACTGCCTTGAAGTGAACGAGTCCTATTAAAAACAAAACGTATTCTTCATGTCTAAACCATTTGCAGAAAGTAGGAAAGTATTTGCAAGTGCTTCTGGTATGAAAGTGTATAGAGATAAAACTTTTTGAAGGTTTGGCGGCAATGAGGAATCGGGGAGACGGAAGATTTTACTCCACTTCCTTCCCAAAGGCACAACAGGATGCTGAAGGGAAATCTCTCCAAAGTGTCGCAAAATCCCCTCTTAGGCCACATTCAGACTGCTTTGGTGCACTTTGTATGTTGTGGTAAGGCTGTCCCTCCATTTTGGATGAGCAGCCAACGCATCCCAAAGCCGGTTTTAATAGACCTGAAACATTTTGTCCACACAGCACACCAAGATGACCAGAGAGTGCGCTAAAACACACATGAGTTCTTTGCACTGGCTACGTGCCTTTGGGTGGCATTCAAAGTGAATGATAGCACCGCACTGCACTAAGGTTCATGCATTAAGGAGCATTGCGGTTAAAGTTACACCAAACTCAGGAGTTAAATCATAAAAATGCTTTCAAGTAACCTAACTAGAAACAAAAATGTATCATATTTGTGTATCACTCGGCTGTAGATCCTCAAATCATCTCTGAATTGGTGCTGGCACTGTCCTTCCTTCTGGAGCGTGGCTACTTTTGTTCCCCATGGTCCCTGTGTGTGTGGTAAAGTAGTCACCGCTCCAAGCTCCGTCCCTTGATGGACTACAATCTCAATACAAATTAGTAAACTAAATGTGAGATTGTAGTCCATCACAGGAGGGAGCTTGGAGCGGTGACTACTTTACAACACAGACAGGGACCATGAAGAACAAAAGAACAACTTAGTTGCCACCATAACAGGTATCCTCATCGGAAGATTCTTCTATTCCTCTTTCGATGACAGATGGATATCCCCATCACTCTCTGTTCAGGTGGCAATGAACACCTGGACAAATTTAGAGGGTGAACCTCCCTAGCGGGGACACAAACATCTGTAAAGCATTGACAGCCATTATAACCACTTTATTAAAAAAATGAAAGGCTTTAGATATACTTTAAGGAGACCCGCAGACCTGCTATTTAAACTAGCAGAAGTCTTTTTTTAAATTTCCCAGGGAGCATTACCTGAGTTCTTGTGTACTTAGTACTTCATGTTTAACTGAGGCGTTGCTTTATTATACATTTCTCACAATGCTTGTATTCTTTAATCAAATATAATTACTACCTAACTTCAGAGTAGCGGTGCCCAGCGTAGAGGCTGATTACAGTCAATAGGGGACAGTATTCTAATTACGCAATGCCGGTGCCGTTCCCAGGCAAGTTAATTGTCCCTCTCTGCCATCCAGTACATCCTATCCTCTAAGGAATCGATGCAACGTTTCCACATGTAACACACATACCCCGAAGGTTGCTCCACTACCAGATCTGGCATCCCTGTTCCGGTACTGCCTTGCGCCGTCACAGCCTCCTCGGGGTCCAGAATAAAGATTTCATCCTGGGAAATCTCAGTGACAAAATGTAGATGTTCCTGCAGAGACGGACAAATAGCAATTACTGCATAAACCAGTTCTATCCGCTGTCTGATCACACACTCCATTACCTTTTGCCATTTGGAATGTAAAAAAACCAATAACATTTGCCTGGTAGAAAGAGAATGGACCACTGTGAGCTTTGTCTGCTTCCCCCACAGAGTAAACAAAACAGAAAGTTGCCGAGTTTTAAAGGATAGGTTCACTGCTGCAACTCGAAAAAAATGTAAATAAAACATAGCTACATTTCATGGGGCAATAGAGTTTACTTAGATAAATGCTTAAAGAAACCTTGTCAGATACTTCCAGCATTTAAAGTGGAGCTAAAGTTCATTGGGTGGGTGGTGGGTTCTTACCATAATATACATGTATGCACAGCATTCTTGCACATTATGGCACATTTACCTTCCACTGTGCCCAACAGGTCAGGGCTGCAGTTGCTGCTCCACCTACCACCATCACTGCCATTTCCCCTGCTTCTTCTTCCGGGTCCTGCATCACTCCTCTTTAGCCATTGGGCTGAATGAGACTACATGTCCTAACTGCCACCATGGCAAAGGGACTATGCAGAGCGCACTGATGATCCCACCCTCCTCTCCACTACATCGTATGCTTCCTCCAACCTTATAACAGCAGCTCCATTCCTTTATATGGACCTGAGACTAGAGGTAAACATTGATAGTGAATATGCATTGCACCTGCAATGCTCTGATCAAGTGTGCAATACTCTGTGGGCTTCAATTAAATTCTCCATTTACTACCTTTTTTTTTGCAAAGGTGGACTAAGCCTTTAACAGATCCGCTTTCCTGACTTTGAAACTAAGCTCCTCCTACTAGTGATAAGCCTCACCCACTATCACCCCCTTGTCAATGAGATCACTTTTGTGGCCAATAAGGACTCACTGGAAAGGGAGGTAGCTGTTGGGTGGGGCTTTTTCATAGGTAAGCTAGGTTATGGAAGTTGAGCTGCAAAAAAACAAAGTGAAACCAGGATCAGGGAAGTCACAATTGTTTCCAAGAACCACCTGCACTCCTAACAGTCTACAACCTTTCAATGTTAGTGGTGCTCATGGTGATCGCACAGATGGCGTCGTACAGAACTCAGGGTAATCTCAGTGGGTCACCGGCACACACAAAGATAAGCCCCAATATCAATATCTCTTTGATATGTGTATAGAAGAATGTCACAGCATGTCATTAGTAGCTAACATTTCGGGACCTCGCAGGGACCCTTCATCAGACATAGTGACAGTATTGATATTGGAACTTATCTTTGTGTGTGCCGTTGACCCACTGAGATTACCAGGATCAGAGAGGCACACAGAGTAGGGTTTTCTTGCTACCTTTTGCTGGCTAGCCTGAAAGTGTGCTGGTAACCCTCTATATATTGCTTTGTATATTGAACTGTTCATGCCTAACCTTCCCCTATTTGCTAGTTTGAAGCAAGGCATAGCCACCTGTAATTGAAATAACACTTTTGGGAAGATTAATTGCTTAATTTTATAAACACTGACATCAAAGAAAGAACGTTCTGTGGTTGGTTACTTTAGATACTTACCAAGAGAAAATTAGAGTTTCATCATACTCATAAAACATTATGTATGTTTTAAGATAATTAGGGTATGAAAAGCTAACACAGAGAGAACATATCATTAATTTGACTGTCATTGTAATTGATTCTCTCTCGTTGCCTTTAAACATGTTCCAGATTCTTAGTAAGCTATGAATTTAATTTTGTACCAACTTGTCGTCTATCTGAGCCTATAGATTATCCACACACCCATCCATTTAAATGCAATCAGTGTCATTGCTGCTGAGGATGAAGTTTAATTACCTGGCTGGCTGACAAACATAGCTCTGACACACAATATGGCTGCCATTGTGTACACTGTGCACATGTGACAGGCTCATTACCTAATGAAGTGTAACAGGTTATTTTGCAATCAAAGCTTATTGTGCTTATTTACCTGAGATCTGTCTATACGATAGAACTGGTCAGCGGAGGTAGCTGTGTGAGAGAGGAGGAAACATATTAGATAAGAAGGATACTGTCAGACATTTCTACGCTAACACAGAGAAGGTGACTGTATGTGAAAAAGTACTTTTATTGATGCTTTGCAGGTTTATAGAAAAGTGTGCATTGTAGTTAAAGTAGTTCTTTAGAAGGGCAGCATCAATGTTTGTTTTGTAAATAGTTATGTAGGTATGGTGTTCATGTTTAAAAATAATCTATCCTGTATTTAAAGAGCTTGCCTTTATATTGTTATATCTTGGAGGACCAGGTTCCATCAGAAGTACAAGTGACACTATTGCAATAAGCTCTCTATCATTGCCAAGATAGCAGATGCCTCTTATGGCTACCTGAACTGTGTAGAACAAAGGAAAAAAAGTTCACTTCAGTCAGTCATGTGACTGTCATTTTCACAGCATCATGTGACTGTAAGTTTCAAAATTAATTGGAATCAAATGAAAATAAGTCAAATGAAAATAACTGTCACTTTTTTTAAAAGAGGGATACTTATTCTGGTGTGTTAGCTTTGTGAATTGAACCTTCAGCATTTATTTAATGAGAATCTGAAAGGACAAAAGTGACAGGGTCTCTTTAAGTCCCCGTTGACGGCTTTGCGTTGCGTAAAGGCGTGCCAAAGTGCGCGCTTTGATGCACATTCACGTAACACATTCAAAGCATGTGTCAAGCTTGCAGTGCCATTACTTGTTAATGGCACCCCAAATGCAGCCGGTACAAACGCAACATTTTTCTGTGCATTGCCTCGCAAGAAAAAAATCATAGGACACATGCAGCTGAAAGTTTTGCATGAGCTACTTTGACACCTTTGTCACACATGCAAAACCCATTGAAATCAATGGGCAACACGTGCCAAAAGCAGCAAAACACACAAAATGTTCATGTGCATTCCTGGATTGTGTAGTGTGAACGGGGACTTAAGCCTTCCATATCCCCAACCTAGCGGCACTCACTGTTTGTACAACAATTTTCCACCCAGCTCCTTCAAAGAAAGTTGAAAAATCAACGTTTTTTGCGCTGGGTGGTGTTGGCAGGGCCATCCACAGACTGAAGTTTGGCTGATTCAAGGAAACTCGATCTGTGTATGGTCAGCTTTGGCTCCAAGTCAGGGACGTCCAGGCTCTTCACATAATGTCCACCTAATCTTGTTAAATTGACATGCTAATTTCCCGACAGGATTTCACACAAACACATCAACTTACCATCTAGGAAGCACCATCGGGGGTTAAGTCTCTGGGCAGAGAGCAACCTTGGGAATGAGCTCTCATCCTGCAGGATATAATAAAAACATGTTGAAACTATAGGAGCAGCACGTCCTTACTTAAATATCTGCACAGCAAGTAGTCTTTAATGTACTGTATGCCTAAGGGCAGCCATTTTGCTCATCAGCAGGCCTCAAATGAGATAGGCATTACATTAAAACCTAACTGGATGTCCCATAGTTTGTGTAACACCTTCATGACTGCAATATGACATTAGGAGTCTGAATGTAAAAGGCCCCTTATGATGAGACTGTTGATCAACCTCAAAGCAGGGAACTAGAATTGTGAAAGTGTGCGTGTTCCTAGTTCTCATAGAAGATACAGAATGTCACCAGCACACCAGAATCACATGTCCAAAATTACCTTTACAAGTGGCACTTTTGGACACTTGATTCTGATGTGCTGGTGACATACTGTATCTACTTGGACATGAGCAGCACCATTCCGCAGTTACCTCAGCACCCATCCACAAGGGATACACAGGTAAGGAGTGCGGTGTTATATCTATTGGACTTCCTAGTTCTCAGACCTGCTGTCAATCAGAAAACTGAGTTATAGAGTTATTGTCAAGTTAACTGATGCATACTAATGCTGCTAAACTTGGTGTGGGAATCTAAGCTTCAAACAACTCTGCTCCTGTGTATCATAAATAATATATTTTTTATCTAAAATACTTTTTCGCCTTTCTTAGATCCATTTTCCAATTTCCATGTTGTTGATCTCCCCCAGCTTGTTTTAGCCCCTTCCTGTCTGCATACACTTGCCCCAGTGTCTGCTGCACATCATCCTTCTAGACTGATTTTGTGATAGTGATAACAGTAGACCATGACTGTGCAATGTAGTCTCCACCGATTGTAGTCTTCATCAGGGACGCATGTGACAGGGTGGCAATGAAGGAAAACAACTGGGTGACAGCCGTCTCTCTGCAACACACACATAT